GGGGGGGGGGGGGGGGGCATTTTGGCTCTTGAAAAACTGAGTGAAATTGCTTTAATAGTGGCTGAATCTTTTCAAGAACAATAGCTGATGAGTCCTCATTTGAAACTTCCATTAACTGTAGCACTAATCCTTTGAGGGTCCCCTTTGTCGGCATGTAAAAATTTTCAGCATCTTCCATAGTTAAATCAAAAGGACAAAGCCTTTGAAGCTGTATCCTTTTTCCGCACCAAGTAAATTTCATTGTAAGCCTGGAGAAATCCCTAAGAATGGGACCTAGGTAGGAAAGCCAATCCACCCCAAGAACCATATCGCATCCCACTAAGGGCAACAAATATAAATTACCAAAAAACGTAGTTACATTGAAGATGAAATGGAACTATGTCACAACAGCCTAAGCAAGGTAACCGATCCCCATTAGCTACCATCACAGTAAGGTTGTTGCTTCTTCTAACACCTAGATTGGTTTTCTTGGCAATGCTAGGGTCGATGAAGCTATGAGTACTTCCGGAGTCAATTAAAACAACCACATTTTTGTGTTTTAATACACCCCATAGTCGCATGGTTCGAGAAGTGGGAGTGCCTGAAATTGCATGTAGTGATGTACCAAGTAACGCTCATTCTTGATCTGTGTTTTGCTCTTCTCTCATTGCAGGTTCTTCACTGACATCTTCAAAAATGTCCTCCTCAGTTTCAGCCTCCAACCCTTCCAAAAGGAATAGATTGGGAGTTCTACACCGGTGTCCCAAAGCCCATTTGTCATCACAGTAGTAACAAAGACCACGATCCCTTCTTTCCTTCATCTGTGCAGAGGTAATACAATGTATAGGAAGGTTGGCTTTATTAGGTTGGTCCCTGTTTGGTCGAGGGGGGTAGTGAGGAGGTGGGGGTCCCAATAGCCGAATGGGGTTAGGAGTTGGAAGTCTAGGAAAGTCGTTTTTGGGAGGAATTTGGTTGATTGGAACTGGCTGAAAGGAGCTGGGATTTTTATGATTTTTGAACCTGCGCCATACTTCTTCTTCATATAGTCAGGCTAGACCAAAAGCTGTAGGGAGGGTAGTTGGTCTAAGTATAGTGACCATGATCCGAATATCATCGCGTAGCCCACTAAGAAAAGTACTGATTCGAAACTCCTCCGAAAGTCCCGGGATACGGTTGGATAGTACCTCAAAATCAGTTTGGTATTCCTCCACAGTGGATGTTTGCCTTAACTTTGTAAAATCTGCTACTGGATCATCAAAATGTGTGGGTGCAAATCGAACTTATAATGCCTCCACAAATTCGTGCAAGTGGTGATTGGATGGGAAGCCAATAACCACTGGTACCAAGTAAGGGCCTTACCTTCCATATAGAATGAAGCTAGCTGAATTTTCTGTGCATTAGGTGTCTTTTGGTAGTCAAAAAATTGTCGGGCTCTAAAGACCCACCCGTTGGGATCAGACCCATCAAACTTGGGGAAATCAAGTCTCATGGTTCTGCTGTGGATCCCACTTTGGTGTTCAAAAACTGGGTTAAAATGGGTATTGGGCATTTCAAGATTTTGGTTGTTACTTGGGTTGGAATGGTGAGGGTGGATCTGTTTGTGGGGTATGGAGGCTATGGTATGGGAAAGTGTTGTGTAGTTGTTGGCAAGATTGCCTACCTGCTTGACAAGTTCCTCCAGCAAAGTTTGCTGTCGAGTCTGGGCCTCCTTCATTTCTGTATTTTCATTTTTCAGCTGTGTAACCACTTCAGAAAGTTGTGAAAATCGGGTCCCTTCTGCCATGAAACCGACCTGAGCTCTGATACCACTGTTACGAACTCTCAAATATAAGTAAAGAAATCTGGTACTTCAAAGGACCAGTGCCTCTAATATACCATAAAGCCAAAGGAAAATTCTGATGCTTCATTGATAAAGTAAAAGGATCTTAAATACAACTCAAATAATAACTAACCAACAAATAAATCTAGACCCACTACAATCATGTTTACCCACTAACTGGACACCACTAACCCCATTAAATGAAATAACAACCTAAGCTAAGGACTTGGTCAAAAGAAGACTAAAAAGTAACATGAATTGAATATGCTGGAATTGGACTTCACGTGATGACAATTGGATTAAATGGACGGTAACATGACAAAAAGACAGCAGCTGAAAAAGAAAAACAAACTACGGAGAAAAGAAACAGAAAAAGAGCCAGGAAGAAAAGAAAAAAAGAGAGAAGATAGGAAGAAAGACTGTTGCCGACAAAAAGAGGAGAGAAAAAGAAAAAGGAAAAAAAACAAGTTTTTATAGAGAGATTAGAGTTGGGAAAACTAAAAAATGGTGGCCAATGGGAGAAAAAAATACACATACACCCAGAGACAGAAAAGAAGGCAAAATTGGCAGTATATAGTTGTGGCAAACGGGTAGATCGGCTCGGTCGCTCGACTCGTAGGCGGCTTGGACGACCCCGAGCACAAGTCGAGCCGGCGGCTCATGGGCTCGTGTTAGGCAAGCCACGAGTTCAAGCTTACTACATAGTCTACATTCATTTCTCAATTCTACTTCTACATTCAATATCAATTATCACACTACATATTTACAATTACAATTTTATACGTCAACTTTTTTTCAATTCTTGATTTCTTACTTATGTATACATTTTATATCAATTCATAAATGGATCCACACTCATTTGTTGAAGGTTTGTTCGGTATCAGAGGTGAATCACCTATCATGCCGCAAGGTCAATTTCAGAATGAATTCTCCTATCTAAATGAAGTACCTATTCCCCAAAATATTCCAAATTTCGATGCTCATGGATGTAGTAATCCAATTGATTTGGATGACGTTGATGTTTTCGAAGCGGAACAGGAAGATGAACATGAATTAGATATTCCCGATACAAGAGAAAAGTGAAAGAGGAAAAAACAGTTGTTGGGATCATTTTAAATTGATTCAAATAGGTCGTGTGGTCGATGGATTTGCAGAATTTAAAGCAGTATGTAAATTGTTGACCTATAATTGATTTCATCATTAATGTTTTGATCATAACAAACAAGATTAATATTATTCCTAACAATTGATTTTGAGTTATGATAGTTCAATGTTAAAATCAATCAAGCATTGCCAAAATCAACACATCATAAATCGAACTCGAAATGAAGATCAAAGTGAAAGTTAAGCATTCAAATCAAATTATTCGAGATGAGAGCTTAAAGGATCAAAATCAAGACTATCAAATCGGGCTCGTGAAGAAGAGCAAGATCAAGAGTTTAAGAGTCAAACATGAAAGAAACTTCGAAGCAAGATAAAAAAAAAACTATGCTTTCGATATCATATGTAAAGGTATAACATTTTGATCTTTAGTAATGAATGACAATAGCTCAAAAATCATCTTGTGCATGAAGAATTATTTTCATATCACTTGCATAAAATATTTTTGATCAAAAGTAAGATTGATCTTTCAAAGTGTACTTGAACTTAGATCATATCTAAAAAAAAAT